GCTAGCAAGCCAATAGCTAGCCGCCACATATGCCTACATTTAGAACCGGCCAATAATGTGGCACGAATCTAAATACAAATGGCGGGAACTCCTTTGCACCGTGCATCACTATGATGCAAAAGAAATGCACCATGCAAAGAAGGCTACAAATAGCGGGAAATACTCTTTTGCACGCGGGTTCTCCTATTGCAGCAGCAAACTCTACCGTGCAAAAAAGCTGCAATTTGGCGGGAACATAATTTAGCGGTGCCGAAGCACACAAAAACAAAAAAACACAACTTTGGGTTGTGACACAGGTGTTTTATTGCTTTGACAATGTTGTGAAACCATATGTTTCCCTGCCTTGGCGGCTCAGTAGCAACCATGTAGTCAGAACACTTAGGTTTCTCTTTTGTCAAGTTTGTACCTTGCTTCTGTACTGTCAGCAAAACCGTAGGTATGGGTATCACAAAAGTCACAAGGGGAGAAATCCCCTTTGCAAACCACATCTACTGAAGGTGACAGAGCAAGGTGCCACTGGATACAAGGAAGTGTGTCTTAGTTTTCCCAGCATGAGTTTTAGAAGGGTCTTAAAATTGAAAATGAAATTAAATATACTGCAGGCCAGGTCTGCACTATGAAGTTTTGCCATCATAGTTATATCAGCTTGGAGAGAAAAAAAAAAAAAAAGAAAAAAAGATCCCCTTGCCAGTACTTGGGTCAGCAATTCCCCTGAAGTAGACAGGGCTATGCTGACAAAAGACGTCTTTTGTCCTTCTGTATAGCTGGGTCTGCGGAAAAATCTCCTTTTGCCATGGATCTCCATAGGGGCCTCTGCTGGTTATAGCCGTGCAGGACTCTTTTAGTGTAGATTACCCAAAGGCCACATCAACTGCAATATTCTTATTCACTTACGAAAGGCAAGATTTTGTCCCAGAGCTCAGAGAAAAAGGTGGGCCTTTTATCCACTGTCCCTAGAAGGGATCATGGAGTTACTTGGCCTAGATTAACTCCAGCATGATCACTTGGGCTGCAGAATAATGTGCATTTAGCTGAACAGAAACATGGCACTCATATTCATATTCCAGAATAAGCGTGTCCGCACAGGGAGTGAATCTCCATAAGGAGTTAACCAGGAATAAGTTCATGTCTCAAAAAATGCTATGTGTTCTGTGCTGTAGGACCAGGATATTATATTCCCAGAAGGCAGCCCTCAGAAGATAGTCTCATAACAAGAAGTTTCACAATAAATGTAAAAATTACCCCTTAACAAAAAGATGAAGTGCTTAAGGCTGTCTAAAAGTCTGCTGAGAGAGAGACTGAATGCAAAGGGAGAATGTTCAAATATATTTACATCATCCTAATGTTTCACTAGTCCCTCAACATGTAGTGATTTTTGCCGTTGTGTTCCCACTGGACAGGGAGCCAACTTTAGAGCAGTTTCAGCCGGAAAGTTCAAGTATTGAATCTATCTAAAGAAAATGCTGCTTTCTTACTAGTAGAGTTGGTTCTTTTTGTTCAGTTTTTGAAGTTGGATGAAGTAGTTTGTGCTGCTGCTGTCTGTGTTGCTATATGGGATTCCTAGGCTGGCACCCTGACATCTGGCCTTACATTTGTTACAAAAGAGTACATATTTTTTAAAAGAAACAACTCTTTCTGCCTTGCACCAACCCCTCAGCAAGCAAGAAGTCTGTCAGATGGACTTCTCCTGTGGAGCATCTTTTCAAGTTTGTCTCTTCCTTTAATGAAGATCTGTAGTATTGTCTCGGGTTTCCTTTGAAGATTGAGTTTACTGGTAATAAAATGAGTTAGAGAAGAACATTTTCAGAACCCTTAGAAGGCCTTTTCCTTCCACAGGGATCCACATCTCACCAAAGCATCAGTATAAGTTAAAATATGCATGTATGTATGCACATATAGAGGAAACAGCATAGTGGGGCTCATTTTTTCAGTCCTTACTTGGAAGTTCCGGGACTCTGTAATATAACCATTACCAAAAATCGATCTCTAAACTGACTAAGGACAGGTCTGTGTTTCAGCCTACTTTTATAAGTATTTGGTTAAAGTTCTTTTCCTCTGATACACCTGTACCATTGCAATCCTGGTGTAGATACAGTTAGAATATTTATACCAGCATAGCTACTCCTTTATACTAATATAACTGAATCTACACTAGGGATTACATGGATTTAACTGTAGAACAGTATTTGTCATAGATAGACAAAACTAGTTTCCAAATGGATCTGCTTAAACCAAGGCCTATATGAGTCTATAGAAGAGTTCACGTAAGTTTAACTTAAATTGTTTTAAAAACTGTCACACTCAAACTTGGTTATGTAGACCAGCTCTTGTATGATCTCTGAGAGAAAAATCATGTTTTCATGTACCATAAGATTAAGTAATCACAGTAATTAATAATAATTCAGGCATAAATCTTTAAAGGTAAGTCTAAACTTACTAGGCAGACTTTTGCCAATCAATAGAAGCTAGAAAAGAAAGCTTTAGTTATAAAGTTATCAAAATGATTTAGCAACACTAAAGCCCCTGGCCCTAAAGTTATACACAACCTTTAAGTTGCCTGTAACTTCTCCTTTCAAGGGCAGCCAATAGGATTAATTTTTTCCATTAGAAAATCAAGTCCTTCTAAAACCAGCCAGCTTTGCAAAATAATTTTGATTTTGTTATAATGTTTTTTCAGACAAAAAACTGGTAAGGGGAAATACCAGTACGTTAAATATGAAACAACAAATGCACACATGCAAAACGGGGAATCACTGGCTAGGCTGCAGAGAAGGACCTGGGGATTATAGCAGGTCACAAACTGAGTGAGTCAACAAAACAATCTTGTTGCAAAAAAAGCTAATAGCATATTGGGATGAATTAACAGAAGCGTCCTATGCAAGTCACAGGAAGTGCTACTAATCTATTCAGCATTAGTAAGACCTTACCTAGAGTACTATGACCAATATTAGTTTTAAGCCCCACACTTTGAGAATGATGTGGAAAAAGTCCACAGGAGGGCAACAAAATGAATAGGGGTCTAGATAATCTGACAGAGAGGAAATGAGGATTATTTAGTCTAGAGCAAGGGTGTCAAACTCACCCCATGCTCCAGCCTGGATTTGACCCATGGGGCTCCTTTGTGGGATAAATCCACCACAGGGGATGGGGCAGAAGGGGCAGCAGTGGAGATGGTAGCAGTAGGACTGGTGGCCACAGGGCAAGCAAGGCTGTACCAGTAGAGCCCTCACTTACCCTCCTGCCATTGATGGCTATGTCCATAGGGGACCAGGGTCCTGGATTCTGCAGCAGGCCATACCCCCTCTAGTCAGTTCCCCCTTCCCTCCTCCTCCTACTTCTGGTAGCCCACAGGTAGCCCACTGAGACAGATGAAGTAGCTCTGAAGGCTGTAGGTTTGACACCCATGGTCCAGAGAAGATTAAAGGTGGATGTAGAAAGGATGACAATCAATTGTTCCCTATGTCTACAGAGGATAAGACAGAAAGTACTGGTCTTAAACTGCAACAAGAGAGATTCAGATTAAAGATATTAGGAAATCTTTTTCACTGTATATGGGGATGAATAATCTTGACAGGATGTAGCATCTCCATTTTAAGTACGGGATGATTTAGATTGGAATGATGCTGCCTACAGCAGGACTAGATGACCTGCTGAAGTCCCTTCCAACTCTACCTTTCTCTGTTTTATTAACTTGTTCTTGACATTTTCAGAACAAGATACTTTGAAAAGTCATTGAATAATGTTTTAAATGTTATAGGGGTTTGGGTTGTAGCCGTGTTGGTCTAAAGACATAGGCAGACAAGGTTCCTTGGGTGAATTTGATATCTTTTATTAGACCAACCCAAATGGTTGGAGAATAGTTATTAAGCAAGCTTTCGGGTTCCAAAACCCTTCGCCAGGCTAAGGAAGCTTCAGCAGTTGGTGTGTGCTCTTCCTGGATGGAATGGTTTTTACTTTTCATTCCATCCAGGAAGAGCACACACCAACTGCTGAAACTTCCTTAGCCTGGCGAAGGGTTTTTGAACCCGAAAGCTTGCTTAATAACTATTCTCCAACCATTTGGGTTGGTCTAATAAAAGATATCAAATTCACCCAAGGAACCTTGTCTGCCTCAAATGTTATAAGCATTTAAGAAGTCACCATTTAAATGAAATCTTTTAAAATTAACCTGAAACTAATTTTTGTTGAGAATTTTTTTTTTTTATAGAGGATTTTGACATTTGGGGTTGTTGTTCCTAACAGAACAACACACTTTGAAATCCTCCACAAAACACATCTTCTCCCATTCTCTGCTCTCCTTTTAAATATAGAGGGTTTCTCCAAAGTTTTTAACAACTGGAGCTTTTAGAAACAGTGCTGTGTAGAGTAGAGGCACTTCACAGCTGGCATTCTAGATGACTAATTAATTATAGTGACATTACAGATTAACATAGTGAATGCAGCCTGAAGATAAGGAGGCGCTGATTATTGTAAAGCGCTCCACCAAGTGGGTTGGGGGTGCAGGCAGTGTTCTTTCACAAATCATTACAGATTTGAAAGGGGTGTGCACTGTCCAAGACTGTTGGTCTGACATTAGAGCAGCTGCAATTTGTTTGGGATGTGTCTGCATGGCCAGAATGCATGTGTTCACACGTCATGCCCTTCTTCCATTTTGCCTATCCACAGTGCTCTAAGCAAGCATGGAGAACTGATTTTGGAACACAAGAGGCAGCAATATGCTCTCAAAGCACCTGCTCATAATGTTTAGAAAGGAAAATTGTATTATGGGGAATGTCAGTCTGGGAGATGTGCTGGAAGTCTCATGCTGCTAGAAGCAAGACATGGTGGGAGTGTCCAACAATTACAAATGACACCTTTTTAGCATGTAAGATTCTGTATTCATTTTAGACCTCATTATAATGGATAAGGATAAATTGATCAGCGGACTGGAAGCTCATACCTACCTAGGGACCAGTGATCATGACTTGATTACATTCATTTTGGCAAAGAGAGGATAAATTACAGTTGGTAACATATATCTATACTCAGTACTTCACTTCTTAAAGCTGAGGAAAATAAACAAAATTGATGGGGAGGGAAAAAATGGGCAAAAACCCACCAGGAATGAAAATGGAGAGTTCTTCAAAAACAAGACTGACAATCCCCATAATACAATTTTCCTTTCTAAACATTATGAGCAGGTGCTTTGAGAGCATATTGCTGCCTCTTGTGTTCCAAAATCAGTTCTCCATGCTTGCTTAGAGTACTGTGGGTAGGCAAAATGGAAGAAGGGCATGAAGTGTGAACACATGCATTCTGGCCACGCAGACACATCCCAAACAAATTGCAGCTGCTCTAATGTCAGACCAACAGTCTTGGAAAGTGCACACCCCAGGCAGACTTGGGCCATGGAAACACATAACATTTTGAAAGGTATAAATGCAGTTTAAACCTGAAGTGGACAGACAAACACACTTGTTAAACTGGTTTAAATCTGCCTAGAATGGCTCAAAAGTGCACCCGAAAAATCAAATACTATTTTCAACTGGCTCACTGTGAACTGGTTTAGAGTTACGTCTGCACACCAAGAGTTGGGTAACATGGCTTTGGTCAGTCCTCCAGGCATCCCACATTGCATCACTCTTTACACACCCCCAACACACCCTGCTGCAACTGGCCTCTCTGAACTCTACTGCTCCCTTTTCTTTCGTTGGCTCAACAAGCTCCCTTGCACTACTTGTTCAATAAAAGATTTATTTCTAACAGCCAGCTGTTCCTCACTCCCAGCTTGACCATGGCTCTTAATCATTCCCCTCCAGCCCTTGGGAACCAAAAAGCATTGGTCCAAGCACTTAAGTCAGACAGGCACACAGCAGACTTTGTTCACTTGCAGGCTACTGATGTTTATTGTATTCATATTTAGGAAACAAGGAACAAGCAGAAAAGTGAAAACAACCCTAGCCACAGGTCACCCACCCACTGATGTTCCCAAAGCATGGGTGCAAGTACTTCCTCTGACTCACCTACTGTAAGAGATGCTGGGCTGGTACTAAGTCCCACCTCTTGGTGTTGGAGTCATAGTACTTCATACAATCGTGAACCAGTTCCCAATCAGTGCCATTTGGGAATGATGTAGTTGTTATGTGTGTCCTCACCCTGTATGTAGCACTCCCCAAAGCCTGTTGGTAGATACTCAGGAATGCAGCATAGCTTTCCATTAATACTCATTGTGGCTGGTAGGGCTCCTTGCTGTAGTGCGCAGGTTTGTTATTACCCTGAAATAGAATAGTTTTCTGATAGCATACTGTTAGGTTAACAATAATTTGGATTATTAAGAAGTATTAGCTTTACAGCTGAATACAAGGCATGACCTGTGGCCTAGCAATGCAGCTGACCACAAGGCAAAATGATAGCTAAGCCTTTGCTTGTGTCAAGTAATCATTTTAACTGTGTTAACCATTTTCTGAGTTAAAAGCAGCAAGTATCTCTGTGTCTGTGTGCTGAAAAATCAGCTACAGCAAAAAGCAAGATAAGACAGGGAAGCCATTGTTCTGGGTGCACTGGTTGTGTCCTTGAGAAGTATCTACTACTGTGTAAGGTTTTGCTAACATATTATAATGTTGCTGTTACTTAACTTTTAGCTTTTAAAAAGTGCTAGTTCAGCTTAATAGAAATATGCTGTTACAAAGATTTGAAAAGCACCGCCCAAGTATTGCTTTTTTGTTAACCCTGTAAGTCTTGCCTTGTTGTAATAAGTATAAAAATATCGCCTCACCCTTTAGGGGGGGCCATTTTGCCTTTTACTGGCTTTATGGTCTTTGCTTGAGCAAATAAACAGCTGTCTTTCTATCAAATTACAGCTAGACAACGAACCTTAGGGAGGTTTCTCCCACCACATTGCTATACTCGGAGTTGTAGCAGCTGGGGATCTCCTAGCCTGTTTTAAGGATGAGGTTTTTAAGCTAGTTTTTATGGTTGGACTGGGAGGGGTCTCCCACCTAGGGCTAGTAAGGTTAGTGTTACAACAGGGGTATCAAATGAGTGGTGTGGGTCTAGTCTGCAGACTGGGCCAGACCAGCCCCATAAACCAGCCCCGTGCCTGTCCTGAAGCAGCTGAAGTGGGGGCCATATGCAGCATGGAGCTCCCCGTGCCTCTGGGTCAGGATGGGGGCTACAGCAGAAGGGGGTCTGTGTCCATACTAGTTCACTACCCCGGATCCTCCCCTGCACATGGTGCTTATCATAGGTGGGTCAGTGGCACGCTTGTAAACCCACAAAAGGTTAACAAGGCCAGAAAGACACCCCCATGCCTCCATGTCTTAATCCTCTGCTCCAGTCACTAATTGCCACAGAGGCTCGTAATGCAGCACGGGGTCTTTTTTCAAATCCAGCCCAGGTTGCAAAGACCAAATCTATTGGCAGTTTTCTTGATTAGAGATGACCCCCACTTAATGCGGTTTTGCTTACCAGTTTCCTTATAGCGCTCATTTAAAATGAGGTTTCACCTAGCGTGCAGAGCGCTTCGCTGTAACGCTCAGCGCGGGCTGGGGAACAGCAGGGCGGGCCGGCACGAGAGCGGGGCTTGCTCCCGCACGTGGTGCTGGACTTGGCGGGGAGGAGCGGCAGCGGGGCGACGATGGGGAGAAGGAGGCATGAGTATGGAGCCCGGGCTGGTGCCCAGGGCAGAGCGGCAGGAGCCCGCGGCTGGCGGGCAGGTGGGGAGGAGTGACGGTGGCAGCAAGAAGGGGCAGGTGGGCAGGGGCGTGAGCGTGGAGCCTGGGTTGGCAGGACACGTGCGCATTGTCCCCTGCTCCAGACCGCAGCGGGCCCGAGCCTGCGGAGCTCCCCCCGCCCCCGGGCTGCAGCCCGTGCCCTGTTCCAGTCATGCACTCGCCTGCGGGGCATGGACACTGTCCTGAGCCTGCAGCAATCCGGCGGCGGCGGGGCAGTAGGTGGTGCAGAACTAATTATATTTACTTACATCAAATCCTACGGAGAAATGGGTTTCACTTAACGCTGTTTCGCTTAGCGCTCAGTTTTCCCGGAACCAATTAAGAGCGCTAAGTGGGGGTTGCCTGTATATGGATGAGCTCTTGCGCCTCACTTCTTTATTCATCCCTCCCTCCAAGCTCTAGCACATCCATCCCCTTTCATCTTTGCACTGACAGTGTAGTGCCAAGAGACATGCCACAAAATGCACTATGTCCAACTGTCACCTATCACTGAGCATCTCAGTAGAGAGACTAAAAGACTACCTGAGTCATAGAGAGTGAGTTACCCACTTACTTTCTATTTGTGGTCCTCGTGGATCACAGCTGAAGTATGCTGGGATAGGGAGTGCTAACATGAGCACAATACAGTAAGCGCCTATCTTGCAGTCACTTTGTCAGTAGCAAGAAGATGGAAGTGCCCAGTTCTGTCAGTCCAGCCCTTTCATTTTCCATCAAATGAAAAAGGAAAAGCTGAAATTGTAGTCAGAGCTTGTGAAATAGCATCTAAAGACAATGATAACACTGAAGGAATCCCACAGTGCCCTAAAAACGGTCTACTTATTGATTCCCACCCTCCTCCCCCACTTCTCTTTGTTTGTCTGGAGTTCCTTTCCCCAGCCTCCAGCTGTTCTCAGCAGAAACCCAGTGGATCTTCACTGATTATCACCTTTGTTCAGATGTGGATTGGACATTTGCCTTTCTATTTACTCTACCAGTTAGGTCAACCTTGAAAGCCTAAGTGTCAGACACTCTTTGCAGGACTTTGTCAAATGCAAAAGAGAGGAGGAGGGAAGAATAAAGTCTCACCAGCAGATAAGGTTGCCACTTACCCTGTTAACAGAGCAACATTGGTTAAAATGATAATAGATTTGACGATCAAAGACAAGGAGAGCAATTTAATTAATCTGTGAATCGCATCTAATAAGTTGTTCTCAATATCTTGTGTTTAGCTTTCCTCCAAAAATATAATAATAAAATAATGCAGAGAAAGAAACCTAATCTTTTCTACTTTAATAAATAAAGTGCCACCCTGCCCTGCCTTCTACTCGAATAAAGTCATATCAGCATTTTCATCATCCCTATTACTTTTAGCACCCAGGGACCCTAGTCACATGGAAAGAAATCTTCACATAATTCTGAAGTGAACATTCATATAACTTATGTCCCCACAGGCAGTGTCATTAGGAATTTCAGCACTGCACATATTGGTACCTTAATACAACTAAGCAAAAACGATCCTTACCCTCAGATTCAAGATTAGGTCTCTCAGAGACAGTGCTAGTTAGTGCCCTAATACATATACATTCTTAACTTCAAGCATGTGAGCAATAGTCGGACTATTTAACTACTCAGCATTAAGTGTGTGTGCGCATAAAAAAAGCAGAAATTAATTAAACCTAAAAGAATGTTATAACACTGTCTTGTACTCAGGGCTTGAGCTACTTCTCAGTGGGCGCTTTTACATGAGACATTTACTGCACAGTAGACTAATTAGCTGTGCAGTAAATGTCTCGATATCTACATGTATGCCCCTATTAGGCTGGAGTAAACTTGTAAATACAAGTACTATCCTGCTGCAGAGTAAAAAACTGCAGCAGTGCACGTGCCTGCTAGCCCCATGCTGAAGCACCCTTATGCCCCAGCCAGCTCTTCTGTAGCATATTAAGCTGGGGGGAGCAGCCCCGGGCTGGCAGGCTAATCCCCACAAGCCTCCTGCCTGCCAGGGCTTCTCCCCAGCTCAATGTGCTGCAATGCCAGGCACACATGCAGCAATCCACCCAGCAGCAATAAGCTCCGAGGCAATAACCTCCAGAATTTATTGCGCATTAATAGGCACATGTAGATGTGCCCAGTTAAGCCAGTTTTATACTACTGTAAATCAAGAAGGGTGCCTGGGTTTTTTTCATACCGGCTGAGCATCTTTTTCCATAATTAAGTGGAAAGTGTCTTTCTAATGCTTCTAATGAAAGGTAAGAGTTAACATTATTATTTTAGGATAAAAATTCAGATGCCAACATAAGATGAAACTGATAGTAAGTATCTATTAATGGAGCTGTTGAGATAAAAAATATGTCTATATAGATTCATAGATTTATAGATTCATAGATTTATATGTCCATATTTGTGGGGCATCTATGTCTCTCCCATATCTGTGACTCTTTTCACCATTAATATTGGATGATATTTAAAAATCTGGGCCCTTATCCTCGTCCTGCAATAACGTCCCATGAATGGCTATCCAGAGCCCTGCTGCAGTCAGTGGGGGCACACAGCCTGGCTTGTACTGGTCTGATTGCAAGAGCCCCTCTTATTTCCAGATTATTTAATTCCACTCCATTTTGCTTTCAGTTTTTTAACATGTACTTTCCTTTGTTTCCCAGTGTCCTGTCCCAGAGCTATGCTTTCAACACCACATTTGCTTTAGTAAGTGCCTCCCTCTGCTCTTTCTTTTTATGAGATAAAAAGTTGAGTGTAAACTAAGCTGAAACTGTCTGCTGAAAAAACTTTGGTCTTCCTTCAAAAGGGGAGATATGAAAATGAAAGAGGGGAAAATGACAGCTCAATACGCTTTTGTGTGTTACAATATGCACATATGTTAAAACTGTAGGCTGTTGAACAGAAGATACCTACAACAGGTTGGGGTGGATTGAAGAGATGAGCTGGGAGATGTTGCTGTACTAGTGAGTGGCAATGAAACAATTCCTGATAAAGCTGAGCTTTTTGTCTTATATTTCATACATTCCTTTCATCCTAGAGGTTTGATCCATCATGGGAACTCCTTTCCAAAACTCTCAGCTCTCTCCTCCCTTTACCTCAACAGACCCAATGTCAGCTTCATTTTTACTGTGAAATGTACTGGAGTTAAAAATGCAGAACCAAATTAAACAAGATCAAAGGAAACATTGTGTATGCCACATGACCTGACCATACATTATCTTTATTCTTCCTACTTTATCATTATATTTTCCATTCTAATCATATTCACTTTGTCTTTTTTAATGCATGAACCTAGTGCCCTTGGGTTAAGGCTTTTTACAATATGGAGGAATGTTTATACTTTGTTTTTTAATAGGCACAGGGGCCGGAGTCTGTTCCATCTATTAGACACGTAGGTGGACTTAGGTGCCTAAAGTGTGGTCTAATTTCACCCCACTCCAGTCTCTGAAAAACTCTTATAGAAAAACTCTAATAGGTGGGTGGTTGGTTCTCCTGAATACTTTGTTGTGATTCAGTCTTAAGGGTAGGATGATTTCATGTTTCAGAATCAGAGGCATTAATGGATTTTCAGGGACTTGAATAGAATGGAATACACTCACACTTAGGCACCTAAGCCCATGTAGACACCCAATAGGTGAAACAGGATCTTGCCCTAAATGTTTACATTTTACAGTATTTATAGAAAGGCATGGAAATCATATCCTGTGGGTTATAATCTCAACATTTCCATCTAGAAAGTGTGTGTGTGTGTGCGTGCGCCCGCGCCCGCATGTCTGCGCATGTGTGCATGCGCATGCCTAAGCCTTTTAGCTGAGGATTTCAAAGTAGTGGGCAGAATTCAGCTTTACAAAGCTTTCAGAGTCAGGAAAGTAGTGCTGCTGTCCATACAGGGAGAACAAAATTGCAAATTTTTGGAGCCAGTTCCAAAAAGGAATGTTGGTGGAATTTAAGCCCCAAGTCCAAAACTGAAATTCTGAAAACTGCCCAGCTGCCAAAGAATCCTGGAGGCACCCAAACCCACAGGTGCTGCCCCATTTGAATTTAAACCTCACATATCTGGAGATGCACCTCTATGAATGTCTGGAACTGCCCCCACCTTGACGGTGTGGAAAAGTTCAGTGCCTAAGCCTGTTCCACTAAGTGGGTCTCTACATAGCATGTGGGTATGCTTACAGTATTTAGTTATTCTCAAAATACATCTAGGACACACCAACAGGATTAGAATCCTCACACAACAGTGGCAAGTGCCACTTATAACATTTGGCTAGAGTAGGACCCCGTCTTAAATAGTGTTGCCTTATAGTTAGAGCACTCACCCAGAAAGTGGGAGCCCTGGATTCAATTTCTTCCTTGACCTTAGAAAGATCCAAACCCAAATCTCCAGTTCTGAGACTGCAGGCCTGGCATTGGCTAAGTCAGGGCTGCTGGGACGGCAGTATGGCATGGACCCAGAAGGAAGACCAGAGGCATCTCATAGTGGCCACTGAACACTCATCACAGCGCACCAGTTTTGCTTAATGTCAAGCTGGGCTAGATTTGAACTGGTGCTTTGGAAGAACTTTGCAAATCTAATTAAAAGTCTCTTGACACATCCAGTACCCCTAAAAACCATTTGTGAAAATCATGCTTTGATTAGAATAAAAAACATAGATCATTTTGATATAGAGTGTTGGTACATATGCACTTGCACACACATACATACACAACATTGGCAGGATAATCACGAGTACATACATGTAAACAACTATCTGAACACGTGAAGGGCTATGGCAATGTGCACATTTATGTAAATGTGTATATAGAGATGTGTGAGATCGCGATCATATATATATCTATATACTAGGGCTGTCAGTTAATTGCAGTTAAAGTATGTGATTAACGCAAAACAAATTAACACATTAATTTTTGTAACAGGCATTAATGATACATATCTGTTTTCACCAGGAGTGGGCAAAATATGGCCCATCCTGCACCCTCTCCAGACTTGGCCCGGTAGAGCAGACCAGAATGGACCAGCTCTGGATGGAAGCTGCATGTGCAGCTCCAACCCCGGCCCACCCTGTGCCTGCTTTGGATTGCCCACCTGCACTAAGCAGTGGCAGCAGTGGTGGGGGTGGGCAGAAGCTGCTGTTTGGTGCAGGGGAAAAGCGGCCCTTCTTGCTGCAGCCACCTGTAGCCCATCCCCGTGCTGCCCTGCGGCTCCTCTCCAATGCCATCACTATTGCCTTCAGGCCACCCAACAGTGGCAGTGCAGAGGAGCCATAGGGTAGCCTGGGCATGTGCTCTGGGTGGCTACAACAAGAAGGGCCCGGTATTGGCAAGGGAGAGAGGCTGCTTTTCCCCCTGCACTGAGTGAGCAGCAGCTTCTCCCCAGCCGCTAGGGCTGTGCAAAACAGAAGTGTTCCATTTCAACCAGCGTTTCGACGTTTCAACAGAACAGCGTTTCGTTTCGACTTTTGTTTTGAGTCAAAACGGCTGTTCCATTTTGTTTCGTCAAAATGTTTTGCCATTTCTACCCTGCTTTGACGTTTCACCCATAGGATATAAGGGGGAAGGTTGAAACAGCCTATAACTTTGTCATTTCTAGCCAGATTTGGATGGAGCTTGCAGGAGTGGTAGCCCCTTCTGAGGACATGATGTGTGCCACATTTCAAAAAGATAGGTGCAGGGAGGTCAGAGAAACTGCACCCCAAAGACTTGAGAGAAAAGCTCATGTCACGTGTATGTGTTAAGCCACAGCAGGGTCTAAACTGCAGGTATGGTGGCCCCTGCTGAGGCAACAAAGCCTGCCAAGTTTCAAGGAGATACATGGAGGGAGTTCGAACAAACTGCACCCCACAATCCTGAAAGCAAACCTTGTGTCGTGTATGTGTTAAGACACAGCGGGGTCAAAACTGCAGGCTTGCTAGCCCCTGTGGAGGCCACAAAGCCTGCTAAGTTTCAAGGAGATAGGTGCAGGGGTTTGGAGAAACTGCAGCCCAAATTCTTGAAAGCAAAACTCATGCCTTGTGAATGTGTTAAGCCACAGCAGGGTCAAAACTGCAGGGGTGGTAGCCCCTAGTGAGGCCACAGAGCCTGCCACATTTCAAGAAGATAGATGCAGGGGCTTGGGGGAAATTACACCTCAAGCTCCAGACAAGCAAAACTCGTGACATGGATGACACTGTGTGTGTTAAAGCGCAGCAGGGTGAAAGCTGCAGGCCTGCTAGACCCTGATGAGGCCATAATGCCTGCCAGCTGTTGAGGAGATAGGTCCAGGGGTTCTGGGTTTTGGGGCCCTGCACCTCTGGCTGCTGACAGGCAAAACTCGTGTCATGGGTGAGTGTGTAGCTGTGTCTGTCTTGGGGCACGGGGGAGGGGAAACTACTGCAGGCCTGGCTGCTAGGCCCTGCTGAGGCCAAGAGGCCACTAAGCCTGCCAGCTGTCAAGGAGATTGGTGCAGGGGAGTTCTGGGGCCCTGCACCCCTAGCTGCTGACAGGCAAAACTCGTGACAAGGGTGCTTATGCAACTGCTGCCTCTCATCAGGTAGCAGGACTGAAGATCCCCATCACTTGCCACCACAGACCTGGGGGTAATAATTGAGCACAGTATGAACATGAGCCGGCAGTGCAATGCTGTAGCCAGCAGGGCCAACAATATGCTGGCATGCATCAATTGATGCATCTCCAGCAAAACCATTGCAAAGAACTGATTCTCCTGTTCTACTCAGCTCTTCTCAGCGCTGGTGAGACCGCAGCTGGAGTACTGCGTCCAGTTCTGGGCTCTGCCCCTTAACAAGGACGTGGTAAAGCTTGAGAGAGTCCAGAGAAGGGCTAACCATATGATCAGAGACTTGCACAGCAAGCCGTACAAGGAAAGGCTGAGGGACCTGGGACTCTTCAGCCTGAAAAAGAAAAGGCTGAGAGGGGATTTGGTAGCAGCTTACCGCTACATCAGAAGCGTGCATCTAGGGCTCAGTGAACAGTTGTTCACCAGAGGGCACCCTTGGGGAAAACTAGGAGTAATGGTCACAGTCTGGACACCCTAGTTCTGAAGTAGTTTTTCCTAATGTTGAGCCTGAAATGAGCCTGAAATGATCTTCCAGGAGTTTGTGACCATTACTCCTAGCCTGCAGTTTTGACTCTGCTGTGGCTTAACACATACATGTGGCATAAGTTTTGCTTTCAAGACTTTGGGGGGCAGTTTCTCTGAACCCCCTGCACCCATCTTTTTGAAACACGGCACACTTTATGCCCTCAGAAGGGGCTACCATTTTTGCAAGTTTTATCCAAATCTGGCCTGAAATGACAAAGTTATATACTGTTTCAACCTTCCCCGTTATAGCCGATGGGCGAAACGTCAAAACAGAGACAAAACGGTGAAACGTTTCGACTTGCCTCGTTTTGTTTTAAGGCTGTTTCAATCATATCTGTTTCATTTTGATTTTGATGTTTTGACCTCAAAACAGGTTGAAACAGCGTTGAAACAAAACTGGTGGCGAAATTTTGCACAGCCCTACTGGCCACCACCGTTGCTGCTCATCATGGGCGGGTGAGTCTGGAGCAGGTGCAGGGTGGGTTGGGATCCGGGCTGTTCACATGGGTTCTGGCTGGTCTGCTCCAGCTGGTGCGAGTCCAGAGCGGGCACAGGGTGGGCCGGGATCAGAGCTGTGTGCTGTTGGTGATGGCGGGAAGGAGCCTCAGGATGCAGACTCTAGACTGTTGGATGGTGGGTTTTGACTGTTGTTTAACTGTGCAATCAAAATTGCAATTAATTGCACCTTTTTTTTAGTCTCGCAATTAATTGCAATTAATTTTTTGAATCATTTGTCAGCCCTACTATATACATATTCTGCATGTATATGTGTGTACATTAGGACATAGTTTGATTCCTATTGTTTGTACGTCAGGTAATAGCGATGAAGATTTTACAGTCTGATGAAGCCATTCAAGAGATGGAAATAATGCCAAGCTAAGTCTGTTCAAGGAGTTTCATTTCCCAGATAATAGAGATACTACAAAATCCTGATCTTGCATCATTTTTCTCACATAAATGGATCCCTGAAACAGAAAAGCTCCAGAAAAGAACAGACCACCAGAAATTCGGAATTTGTGGTAAGAACACAGTATGCAAGTGTGAGTTTGTGACTGTGTAACAAGAAATCCCAATAAAGAATTCTGACTAAGAAACAAATAATCATGTTATAAGGAAACACTCCTGGAAGCCTAATAAATAGTTTGAAATGATGGTTTTTTGGTTTTAAAGTCAAACATATGTTTGATAACTAACTAAAAACTCTGGAATAAGAACATTTGGTTTCCCAATATTTTCTATTATTGTTTTAGTTTTGTTCCCTATCTATACAGAAAGGTCAGACTGGTGGAAAAAATATTGACCTGATTCTCAAGAATCATGTACAGTCCTAGTAGAGCTGGACAGAACGACTGAAAAGTTCAGCAGCCAAATAGCGCGGCACTTGGCACTCTTGCCTGGCTTTTCTTATGATACAAAATCAGAAAGACCATAAATTAATTTGAAATACAGCAAATTTAGAACCAATAAAAGTAGACTTATCGTTAATAATAGTTATCAACAAAAGGCACCTGTGTTTTAATTTTATACTTTATTGTTTTCCTCATATTTCAAAATATACAAGATGGGAAACAATATCCCTACATTGGAATGGCTGTAATTTACATCTGAAAAAATAAAGGTCTGATCCTGAAAATCCTTACTGTGAGAGTAATCCTTTCTCCCAGCATTTGCACTGACCTCAGGACTGAAGGATCAGAACCTGTAACTATGTATATTAGCCTGCGGGCTGAAGTTGTACTTGGCTGATGACACAAGGTCAGACATATACACCTTCAAGTTATACAGTATATACACGTAAGTGCTTCCAGTCTGTGATTCAAAATAACTGTGCTTGGATGTTCAGGACTGACATGGACAAAATTGGTGAGCACCAGATTTCCACACATAGCTAAAACTACTTGGCAAGATACTACTTTAGCTGGAAATTGTCACTGTCATTTCCTTTTTTCATCTGCAGGTGTTCCATTATGGGTTTAAATTCGATTGCTTTTTACACTGATACAAATCAGGAGTAACTTCACTGAAGTCAGTGGAGTTACACTGGCATAAAATCAGGCTCCATATTTAGAAAATATACATGAAAACAAAATACATACATGCCTATACATGTATTATGTACATATTTCTATACACACACACTCACACTACCTGCATGGACATGTGCATATAGTAAACATGCAGCATTCCTCTGTCCACATCTGCTTCATTAATGATGGTGGGCATGGAGGGGCATAATGCTGGGGCAATGTCTACAGGGGTACTCTGTGCAGAAGACATAGACCATGTCTACACAAGACACTTTACTACACAGTAGACTAATCTACTGCACAGTAAAGCATCACCATCTACATGTGCAGGCATTTACTGTGCAGTAAATTAGTCTACTGCATGTGCAGGTAAATTTACTGCACAGTAAAGCCAAAAACCATGAATAGCACATGTAGATGCACCCACAGGCAAGCAGAATTCCTGAAGAGGAACAAATGCAGTTCCAGCAACTTATCTCAAATTATTTGGGGTTATTTCAAAGGGTGCAGCTGGCATCAAAGGAGAGGCTTTGCTGCATCTATGCCCTCTTTCTGGAGTATATGCTGTGGATGGCAGCATCTGCCTGCACCTTGCACCCAGAGAAAGCACACATTAGGATTATGACCGCCTCTGAATTGGCCTGGAAAGCAAGGAAAGGACTTGTCTTTCCTTGGGCAGCAGTAGTCTGGTCCTGGGTGTATATGCTTACTCTACACCACTGCTATATTGTCCATAACACAGCCACACTTCTCTATGATCATGTTAGGAAACTCAGCCACTTCAATTTCTGTGTAGTTTCCCTTCTTGACAAGATACATCATGGGAAGTGGGGAGCTCTCCACAATGGCACAAGTTCTCTCCCCATAGCCGAATCGACGTAGCAAGTTCCTGGGCTGCATACAGCCACCCATACAGTGATAGGCCTGGTATCCTGCCGGCTCAATAATCCAGTACTGAGTCCAGGTCAGCTCTCGGAAGTTGATATAGTGTTCCTGCCGACAACAAGTTGACTTCTTCTTTGGGGTGTCCTCCTTACAGTCTCCAGGCCCTCTATCATAAAACATAGCCAAAAATTATCTCTGTGACTGGAAGTCAGGACTCACACTGAAGAGCTGAAGAAATAGCTCCGTCAGTAACATTAGAAATTAGTCTGAACTGCAAAGCTTGGATCTGGATTTTGAGCTTGCTCATAGAAATCAGGGATGGTTAGATTTAAGGTCCATGTTCAAACCCATTCTTAACTGAGTCCAAAAAAATACAGGGAGAAGAGTGTCCTGGAACTGGAGGCATGCCCCAACTATTACATTTTCAATAATTGAGTTCTAAGGAGGAAACTGAACCCTCTGGGCCTGTCTCTCTCTGCCCTAAATCTTGTGCGGTGATTTATACCTGTACTAAATGAGTGAGATAAACTATCATCTCGGAATAGAAATGCTCAACAAACTCCCTGCACTTATTTTATTTCTGCATAAATGGCTACCCAAGGCGCAAGGTAGTAGTGAATCAGCTATCCTTTTCTGTCTTTAAAAATTCAATTAACATCTTTACTTCTTCAGGCTTGGTCAACACTACAAAGTTTTGCTGATGTATATATTCTTACTACAGTTCTGAAAACACCGCACCTCCTACCTAACATAGGTTTGCCAGCAACCCTCCAGAGCAGATACAACAATGTCAGCAAAACAACTTTTTTGCCAGTATAACTAATGCTGGCTGGTGTGGTGGCATAGCTTCAGAAGCAAAAGCACCTTTTTGCCATTGTACATGGTCTCTCTCCAAGAGGCCTTTGCCCACACACCAGTCCTTTCAAAAGCTCTAGAGTGAAGCCACATTCTAAGTTTTTGTGGTATGAATGATCACTTGCTAAATGTTAGAACTAGAGCTGGACCCTAATTAAATCCTGTAGTAGACTAAATTGAGCTCTATACTTCAGAGCAAACTCCTACCTCTAGAGAGGGCCAAATGGAAAGCCCAGATCCAAATATTCCAAACTTCAGGGAAGCTTGGAAATAGATTTTTGTCCAACCTTTGTGGTCCAATCGTATCTCTTCTTGCACCAACCCATTCTAGAAATATCCCAACTAAATCAAGGCCTCGGGTCATCTCGACTGAAAATCTTTTTCCAGTGTAAGCCAGCAACAAAATACCACACACAGCACAGACTTAGATTTGACACATACCCGTATTCTTCCAGGTTGAGGGTATAAAGCACCAGTTCAGGTTTGCCCATGGCTTTATCCAAAGGGTCCTGAGAGGTAAAACGCACAACTTTGGCCATTTCTGAGGCGTAGCTGCCTAGCCTTTCTCCTTCAATCCAAATCTCTAGTAGCATCGGTCCCCGCCTCTCAGTTTTTAGCCAATAATGTACTGCTTGGGTCACATCAAAATTCCTCCAACCAGACTCCATTATTGGAACCAACCTGTGAGACAAGGTAAGGATAAAAAAAAAGGTTGACTGTCAGAGAACTGATGGCACAGGACCTGCAACTCCTCCTCCTCTTACTGCTCTTCCTCCTTTTCATCATCATCGTCCTTTGGCCAGGCAATGCCTATAGACACTGCAGCTACACAAAAGGTATGCAGATGCATTTGGTTCCTCCAGTTTGTCACACTTCTTGATGTCTCAATAATAGTTACTGGGTAACCTTAGTCAGATGTCAGAACAAAATCAATGATTAGATTTTAAGAGAGATGTACAATTTCTATTAAATCGAGAGAACAAGATGTTCTGACTAAAGGATTATTACAGTCCTTCATATCAAAATACTCATTATTCGTTAGAGATTTGACAGTGCAGGGCCATATTCAGCTGCAGCATAAATAAGTGCAGCTCTCTTTGCAAGCAATGGCACTTATACCTACCTGTTAATGCCATGGCTGAATGCAGTCCATAAAGTCCCACCCAAAAATTAAATTGACAGTTTTTGTGTCTGATCCTGCTCTTACTGAATTCCATTACAAAGCTCTTATTGACTTCAGTGGGGTAGAATGAGAGTTAGATGTAGAATGTACCTAGTAATAAGGAGTAATTAAAGAAATCTATAAAAAAAGAAAAAAGCCATCCAGCCAAGTTTTCAAAAGAGACAGAGAAAGAGAGGTGAATGATGCAGAAGAAGGCTGTGAAAAGAAGAACTAGAACTGACTACTTGATGCAACTGCAATCTTGTAATGTGATTATTATTTATGGTTTTCAGACCAATCATAGAAATAGTCAGTTCAAACTGAATATTTCAGTCTTCCTAGCAATAAAGAAGCTCCTTTTATTATGGGCTTAAAAGAGGATATAGAGTCAGATCCTGGAGTCCTTGCTTTGGGCACTTTTTTTTTTACAAATAAAGGCTACATGCCTAATTCTGCTTTCATTTACCCTGATCGGTTACAGTTGTAACTCCACCAAGTTCACTGAGTTTCTCCTTATTTAGGCAAGTGCAGATAACATCAGAACAAGGTCCAGTAAAATCCAAATCCCCACTAGAGAATTATTGCTTACCTGGAATCAATCAATGAAGTTCGGTTGGTGCCATCAGCTTGGCATTGAACCCAATAAACACTGACTCTGGCATTGGTGACTGGCCTGTGAGATTGCTTATAAGGGATGTTTGTTCTGTTCAGGGGCTTTTTGAAAAGTTTCAGCTCAGCCATTGTGACCTCACTATTTTCAGGTATCCTCCCCTCCATGTCAAAGACCAGATTTTGGCGTGTGGTGTCCAAATAGAGAACTTCTCCAGCAATGTCTGTGTTTATTGGGAATAACAAAGAGACCTTGATGTCATTCCCACCACAAAGCTGTCATGCTTCTCTTTCACTCACAATTATTACAACATGCTCACATTATGCTCCAAAGAGTGACTGCTTGAGTTTATAAGCAGATACCAAACACACCTTTTCTAATGACTTCAGTGAATCAATAACTTACAAACACCCTTATCATCTTCCACTGCCACTAGGGAGACAATGGGAGGGAATCTCAAATTTTACTATATTATTTCCCCCCAAACTCAAAAACTCCAGTGGTATAAAAGCAGAATGCTATAATTTATAAAATTAAAAAAAACAAACAGTTTTTATTATCTGCCTTGGAGTACTACAAAAAATCATTGAAAAAAGCAGATTTTAAAAGAGTTAACTTATAAGTAGCATTAATATACCAGACAGAGTTGCTTCTTTTTGTTGATTTTTTTCCAGTGGAAAACTGGGTTTTTAGCTAACCAAACACCTTCATAGAAAGGATATGCTTTCCACAAAAAAAATTGAATTTTTTTTTCAAACCAGGAAATGGGGTGGGAAGAGCGGGGAATAAAGGTTTTCTGATGAAAAATCTATTTTTTCTACCAAATATTTTGGCCAACAACTATTTTTTTTGATGTTTGTCTAAATTTTCCAGTGGGGGAGGGTTGGGGCAAAGACAATTTTCTAACAAGGTCTACTCAGCATGTATAATTTATAATCCCCTTTTTAACATGTTAATCTTTAAGTGGTCATCTTTATTAACCTAAATTATCCTGCTTAATTAAAGAAAGGTGTTTTGAGACAAAGTTCCATTTCAGAAACAGTCGTATCAAAATCCCCAAATAATTGATTTCAGCCTATTATTAACACTGGATGAAGAAAGTTTGGATGCAAACGTGGATCCAAGTCCCATCCCCGGCCTGCCCCCACAAGTTCAGCAGCTGTCGGGATCTGGGGCTTTGCTAAGCTAACAGTAATAATTTCAACGGTGTTACCTGCATTGCCAGAAATCCCTCTCAGGATGCCAGCCAAACTTGGCAAAGCTCTTCTCTTCACTCTGTGATGCCTCAGCATGGAGATGTATTTGTTCCTTATGTGCTCTGGGATAACCAGATTCATTACATCTCTCTTCTGAAGTTTAGGGACCTCAGAGAGCTGCAGTTTCTGCAGCAAAGTTTCCTTGAGCCCCTGCTGGGTAAGACCACCGACAGTCATGGATAGGCAGAGCGCACAGAAGAGCCAGCCGAGCCTCACGCTCATCCTCTGTCAGTTGCCAAATAGCTTATCAGGAAAGAACAAGCTGGTCACTCTCTCCTGGAATCTGCTCTTGGCAGAGGTGCCTTCTTGCTCACACAAGCTGTCTGTGTGAGAAGGAGATCTAATGTGCTGGCTTTTTATAGCCAGTCTAGTCCCATTGGCACAACAAATTCCACAAGTGGAAATTAAGTAGAGGACTTGAAAGAATTGCTGCCCCATTGAGAGTAACCCAACATGTTAACACTTTCATGTACTGTGAACTTAATACAAGAATATCAAGGCGCCTCTAGTTACCTGGTTTAGAAAAGGATTTCTATTCTTTTTAGCTCCCTTTTAACTGTTCCCCACAAAAGCTCCAGACAATTGGAAATGTTTCATGTTTAGTGTAGGCCAGATTGAACTATTTCTGTAGAGTTTGAATGTATTATTTATATATCTCACCAATATACACCGTACTGTACCACTTGTACAGGCAGACACAGTCCTAGACCACAAAGGACTCACAGCCTAAAATAGAAGATAATGTAATTCCAATGCATAATTCATCAGTGGAACAGCTGAAAGTTCAGTCTCTGAACAATAGAGCTTTAAAAAATATTTAATTTTAAATCATAAACTTTTTGTGCCAGGGACTGATTTGATTTTCATGGATTGTACCAAACTCTTTACAAGGACCAAATAATCATAAATCCTAGTGTTTTGTTGGTTTTTTTAGTGCCTTTTAAGCCAGGTAAGACACTTCTAAGCCACAGAACTTCAAACATGTACAAGTTTTAAATTTCAGAAAAGCATCCTTGCTATTTTTATGGTTTCTTGTAGGTTTAACAATATAACTTGTTTAAAAGAGCAGTTCATTATACAGAGGTATTTTTTTAGCTACTGTTGGAGACCAGATTCACTGGTCTGCCCAACCACCCCCACCTCACCACACTGATTTCCACATCATGCAAAAACTGAGAAAATATCCACTTCACTTGAACAGTTGTACTTTTAAACAACACCAAAAGTTTCAGCTCCTGCAATTTACCGAAGGGAAGATTTCACCCTGAAATCCGAAATACTTTAAAATATTTCAATCCCCTAACATTTCACACATGTCGATGTAACACTGACATTTTGAACACTGGTATACCAGGAGGTGATAATTTAAGTTACACAATGCTCGTATGGCTGAGTGTTGATTTGACAGAGTTTCATCTGAGTGGAGGCCAATGGTAAAGCCATGGTTTACAATTTTTTTCCTGGACATACTGATTTTACAGTAAATAATCTGCAACAATTAACTGATTGTAGCTTTGAATGTAGAGATGTTTTCAGAGGGAGGAGGATCACTGGTTGTAAAACAGTGATAGGCCATGCGTTCTGATTTGCCCTTCTGTCTGATTTCTTTTTTTAACCTGATCAGGAGAGTGATTCTAGTCCTCTTATCTTTTTTACTAATTTGTGCATGTCTAAGTAGTCCCATTGACTAGCAAAAGCTATTAAAACAAATACTGCTATGTAAAGTGAAAGTTCTCCACAGATTCTTTTGCAGCAAGGATTTCTTGATCAGAACGTAACTTGCTTCATGTCTGATGTCTAATCTAAGCTGAAGATTCTTCATTGCCAAATGTGCATTGGAAGCAGATATATGGGCTGTACACGTAAAATAAAATAATTGAGCAAACGGAATGAAGCTCAGCTGAAAAACAGGTGGGGATGTGGATTGCAGGCTTTTCACAGGATAGTGATTATCTGGCCCAATTGGAGGATTTGCCATTCTCTCTTTGTCATGCAAACAAGAAAAGTCAGAAATTGTATAATAGCCTTTTCTGGTCAATGTGGATTGGAACCTACATGGTACATTTAAAATGTCAGACAAGGGATTTAAAGCGGCTGCAAGGAATGAAATATAAGGGACTAACATTTTCAATACAAGTCAATACGTGGTGGGAGGGAATCAATCAAATGAGATTTTAGTTAATTCCAAGTAGTTCTCTTGGCTTGAAAGGGTATTGGTTGGGCATATCTACATTGTCATTACAAGCTTTTTAATAAATAAATCTAATGGGTTAAAAGTAAAGTGTGAAATACTTAGACTAATTATGCAGATTTAGCCTGAGAAAGATAGAAATTTCAGACAGACTTGATGTTCCCAGCAGAAAAATACATTGCCTGTCTGTGGGTGCAGAGTTGAGTCTTCAGCTTTTTGAGACTGATGTTTCCATGTACATAACTTTTGTGTCATGAGCTGATCCACATTTGAACAGCTTCTGCCTGAGCAAATGCTAAACATACCATTTTTAAAGGTTAAGGAAAATGCCTAATTTGATAAGCACGCATGGGGATAGAGTTGGAGCTGAATTGCAGATTGGTATCTGAATCTGGTTTGCACAAAGATCAGGAGTATTTGAATCTAGGGATTGGAAAACAAAACTGGCATATTAAAGCTGAGATATAAACTTATTCAAATTTTAGAAGAGCCCAGGTTGAGGGCTCTGGGTTCACCCCATCTTTGGCATCTTCTTACCCTCCTTGTTCAATCTGAAGCACATTAAGCATTATTACATAGTTAACAAATAAACAATTGGAATGTAGTGCTTATGGTAAATGCTGGGCCTCAAGCTTTGAAAATTAACTTCCTCCTTTTATCTACTGCACATGCAGCAACCATGGAAACTTCCTTCTCTCTGCCTCACTAATAAGTCTCATTTACAAGACTTTTATCCTTCAAGTAGAAGCAGGCCCAGATTTTTAATCAGGATTCCATTTGCACAGGCCTCCAACGATGCTGTCTGCCCCAAAGATCCCAGTTGCCACTGCTGCAGCAGCTTCAGCAATGTAGGGAGTGGCAGCCAGGCAAGGACTGCAGACCGTCCATTAGCCCCTTGCAGTCCAGATGCAGCCCACAGGTCACCAGTTGGATGGCCCTGGTTGGTGTAGACTAAGCCTTGGTCCTTGGCCTGTCTCTTGCAACCACCAATTAGTATCAGTTGTGGGGATGCTGTCAGTGACACTTTTACACTAAAGGTGTGACCCTCTGCTGTGCATGTCAATAGTAGTTTTGACAATAACATCAATGGACAAGAGTTCAGCTCCTGAATACTGAATGGAAATCCCTAAGCAACTTTCAGAGAGACCACCCAAAAGCCATCAGGTGGCAGCAATTTTTGGTCACTAGACCAAATTCAAAATGCTGCCCAAGAGAACAGACTCCATATCAAATTTCTCATCTCTTGTGCCATCAAATACCATCATCAAACCCACAGAATTACAATGAAATATCATAAGAAACAAGACCTGATGTCCAGTCTTTCCTCAGCTTTCATGCTGGATCCTCAGCTGGTATAAATCAGAGGCATTGATGACAAAAGAACAACCTAGATATGCACTACCTGAAGATCGTTTAATTTAATACTCCATCATGGAAAACAGAGAGTTAGCCAAAGTCCATGCTTATTCACACCTGAGCTGTTCCATTGTAGGCTGGTGTAAGCTAGCACTATTGACAAAACCAGTTTGAATCAAACTTGACACCAGGCAGAGCACTGACTCTCTGATAAGCAGGAGGCAAAAGTGCATGCATAGAAAGCACATGCTAGTTGACAATCCGATAACAACCTTTCCAACTGATGCAGTCAGAAAGAATGTTAAAGAAAGCATGTTTGTAAAAAAGGAAAGATGTAATAACAATTCAACAAGCAAAATTAAATACAAACTGGGTTCATCTACATGTGCATTAAGGCGTTTTTACTAGTGTGCGTTAAGTTTAGTACCTCTAATGTGAGGTACTAAAGAGATGCACATTAGGCTGCTTTAATGCACAGTAACGAATGTGCAGGGATTTAAGTGATGCTTAATGCTCAGTAGCCTATTTTATTGGTCATACTTTAACGAGCAGTAAAATAGGCTACTGCACATTAAAGTGTGTGTGTAGACACACCCACTGAGAGCTACTTGGTACACTGCAGATTTACTGCCAATAATCCATTCTTTATTGTGATTGCCCTTTCTTATGCGGTTGCCTATTTTACATCCAAGCAGAACCAATTTTATAGCTTCTATAGCTTTCAGTTTTACCGCTTTCTTACCTTCAGCAATGAAAGACTGAGCAACTAGAAAATACTTAGTTTAGTGCCAGCCCACACTGGCCAGGGGCTTCTTCCATTTCTCCTCTGGTTGGATTTCATTGCTTTTCTGTACAACTGATTTTGACAGAGTCTGTATTTTTATTTTTATTTTTTAATTGAACACTTTTAAAATCTTTATGACATCTCTCCTGTTTACAAACTTATATTAAGAATGAATGGGCATTCATCAAACTTATATTAAGAATGAATGGGCATCTAAACAAGGATTTATCAGGCCCTTAAAAACTACAGGCAACCCCAATTTAGCACTCTTAATTGGTTCCTGAAAAACCAAGCATTAAGTGAAATGAGCGTTAAGTGAAACCTGAAGTATTTGATGACCCAAGATGGCAACCGCAAGTGTTTTCAATGACCTAGGATGGCGACCGTGAGCATTATAACGAATCTCACTGAGCGCTAAGTGTAACCAGGTATCACTTTAAAATGAGTGTTATAACGAAATAGCGCCAAACCAAACAGCATTGAGTGGGGGTTGCCTGTTTTAAGGTCCAGGGCATACATGTATGACTAAATATTACTCAGTGTGAGTACAGCTGAAAAAACCCATCCTTTATTTTTTTGCCATTTCAAAACTTCACGAGAGATGGATGTATGTGACACAGGCCTGAATTATGTGGTGATACGCCATTCTACACTAGTGCCAATAGTACCATTATTGCTGACATTGCAAGAGCAGCAATTATGCTAGAAAACCGAGGGGAAAATTTGACAAAATCATTCCTGCAGAGAGGTCTAGTGGGTAGAACTTCTACTGTGGGACTATTTCACAGTATAATCGACCTCACTGGCAATTTTTATGCTATTCAACCTCTTATTTTTTCTCTTCTCCATCTTATTATTCCTCATTATAACCCCTCAGGCCACCTTAAAGCAATTGTCTTCCCTCATTTGTCTTTACAGACTTTCCATTCTTGTAGGTGGTTGTCAGAACCTTCCTTCTTAAATGCTAAGTATT